AAAAGAAAGCAGGGATTTCCCTTTCCCAGAAACGAAAAGCGTTTCATCTCTGCCAAAGTTCTGGGGAGTGTAAATCGGATTTGATGTGAGGGAGGAAGTCGAATGTGTTGACATGTAGGGGCATGATATTGATATATTTGCCACGGCATAAGGTCATTAAGTTCGACGCCTGCAGTCGATGCAATCAGGTAGAAATGGAAAACCGATACGGGTAACTTTTTGGGGATATATTATATGTGTTTAGCTTATCACTTGCATCGCAAACCGATACTTTCTTCCAGACGGAGGAGTTTTACCTGTCTTCGTAAGGGAATTTATCAATGAAGTTCAATGACAGTTGCCGTGGCATTCGATCAACGATCGTTTATCAGTCTCGGAAATATTGACAAACAGCCTGATAAAGACACCGGCCGGTTTCGACGGAGGTTACAAGATATCTTACAAAGTGTAACATGAAAATCTTCCATTCAACCAGTTGATCATTTGGGGATATGTCTATATATTTGTGATTGGTTGACACCATGATAATGTTGATTTGGGTAAGGAGTTTATTTGTGAATGATAGCGGCAGAAAACTTTTAAACATTCCCTTTATTCCATTCCATTCAAAAATAAAAGAATAAATATTTTTGGATCAAATCAAATCAAATGCATTCCAAAAGATGTATTTAAATTATAAAAAGATCTTTTTACCTAAAATAAGATAGAATGATTTCATTTTTGTTGACAAAGACAACTCTTTCCAAAGTTTTGATTAATTTATATTTATTTATTCAAAGTTATGGTTTCCTATAACTTTTTGCGTTTCTTTTACATTTAGTTAGTATGAAAGCTGCAGCTGTTTCCCCCCCAACAACAACTCCCTTTCGAACTGACCCACATTTTTGTACCCAGAAGAAAACAATCTGAAAACTAGAAACAATTTATTCGCTCGCCCATCTTCGTCTTCTTATCTCAAGTGTCTGCACCAACGAGCTTCGAATTTGTTATACACTCTGTGCAGGGTTCCCCCTTCTTCCAAAGACCGCGGTCCGTGGCTCCCCACCCATTGAACAGACCATCCTATCTGGCATTTTGTGACCCACCAACGTGTGACTGCACATCAACAGCCGCTGACCCGTTAAATGTTCCGGTGGCCATCATCATTTCATTCCGTTTCCCTCCAAAGTTGTTGGTTTTATCCCGTGTTTTTCGGTCGACGTCGCCGACTCGCAGACGGCGTCAATGTCTTATCAAAACTTGGTCTATAACATTAATTTATAGCCAATGCAAACACACACTGGTCGGCAGGAGAGTTCTTAGGGTAGACCACTTCAAAGTTCCAAGAGTTGTTTTCAGTTCTCTACTTCATTTCATTTGGAACTCTCCCATCGAAAATCTCGGACCAACAATTAAGTTCCCGAAGAGTAATTCTCCCCACTTGTGTAAACTCGAAATCGTTTTGATTCGCTCATGTTGATATAGGAGTTGTGAGGAATTTCCATAGATCATTTGTGGCGTCTGTTGGTCAGCTGAGTTTGGTGTTAAACTTCCTTTTGTTTGGTCCACAGAACGGTTTGTTTACAAAAACGCCCCCCAGTTATTTGTGTTGTTTACATGCCATGGACTTTCTGGGCTTCTAAGTTTGTGTGTTCCGTTTTGTGGTCCATAAAACTATTTTAATGGTCTTCAACTCTAGTTTAATGCTGCCAGAGTGCTCGATTACTTCAAAAGACTGGGGCAGAATTATTTGAAAGATATATTAAGTTTCAATATCGAATTACCCGAAGAACATGAACAATGCTCCACGGTCTATTGTTTGGTTTTAATGAGTTCAACAATTGTTTTCCCATCGCTCATCCCTTTGTTTTGGCTCAGTTTTGACATGTGTTCAGTTTGTTCTTTGCTGCAGGGGAGTTTTCTTTAAGTGTACCCCAAAACATCAAATGTTGCAGTTTTTTTAGCTGGCCAGCTGCCCTGGTGCTTCCATCATCTTGTGCATTTCCGTTAAGGCGGCGCAAATTATTGCCTCGGCCAGGTGTTACTCAGTTGATCTATAAGTGCATTTAAATAAATTATCACAACAAAGGGCAAAACGAAGACAAGGGAGGGGATATAAAAAGAATGCAGGTGAGAATGAGAGATTTATAAACGATAAACAAGTCTGAGTTACAAAGGCAGTATTTCAACGTTCGAGGGAAATCTCGTAGCCATAGGTCATGGAATAAAATATAAAAATTCTTTCAGAGTTTTCAACACTCCTACCATAAATTTGGTAAAATATTTTTCACCTTAACACATAGTACTCTTTCCCAGCTCATCATTTAAGTGTATTAGTTTAATCATAAATGTATATATCTTTTTCCCAAACAACTCTTGTCCATCTCCTTTGAGCCTCTTCAAGATCAATACTTTTGCTTTTCACGCTTCGATCGCTGGCAATAGAAAAGCAATCATAAAAGCAGAGTTCACTCAACTTTTACGAACTTCACATGTCAATAAAAAATTAAAAACAAATAAAACACAATGACAACAGGCGGCAGCCGCCGCTAAACATTTTCCCACAAATCTAAATTTCCAGAAGCAGGCGAAGAGAAGTGAAGTGCGCTTTTTCATCTCTAAGCATTGTGTAATGCAGTTAACAAGAAACAAACAAAAAATAAAAAAAATAAAGCAAGTCCAAACGAAACGAAACTTAACGAAAAGGGAGAAAAATCAATGAAGAATGCATTTCACAAACACTTTTCGATCGGCAGCGAAAAGCAAACAGCAGCTGGATATGAGTTGGCCATGACTTATGGCTACCAGTGTACAGAATGTATCCACAAGATACTTAATGAGCTGATAAAGTGTGCGTGTTTGTCCAAGTATCTCGCCGCTTGATTGGAAAACAACCCAACGAAATATCCAACGGAAATGCTAGCGTGGGTCAATCCATTCCTATCGTATCTTTCGGATCTGTGACCCATTTCGCCATTGGGAAACTTTCGTTTTTCTCTAATCCAAACAAGCCAATCAATCAATTAATGCCAATCGCCTCGATCGGGCGTTATAAATACGACTTAACTGGGCAATAATTTGCCCGATCAATTCGCGTTTATGTCTTCAAGGCTTTGTCGTTGAAAAGTGTTTCAATGAATGTTTCAATACAATCGAATGATTTAGAATTGATTTGCAATCATTATCGGATCAGGAAATCACTTAGTTGATCACTCATTGAAAAGTTGCCCCAAGCTGATAAAAATTTTCCTGAAGTATTACTTCGAGTTTAGATATATTTTCTTTAGGTAAATACAAGTTTTGTAATGCAAGTTTTGTTTACTCTGACGATGTGTAAACTATATATTTATTCAAATAGGAGTAATACCATTATTTATTCATATTCTTTGTCTTTCCCCTTTTCCCACATAATATTAATTCTTATCTTTCTGGGCTAATCATCAGCAATTTCTATTAACCACACTATGGCATTAAGAAGTGATTATCATAAGGCAGCTTAAAATGAAACGTATCCAAATATTTCCACACGCAACTTGGAAGCAGAACCAATTTGCGTTGGCTTTGTAGCGTTCCAAAACTAATTTTAACGACAAAAACGCTAGAAGAAGTGGACACAGTAAGCCACTTAGTTTTATAACCATGGCAGTCGGGAAGATATTTTAATAAACCCTTTTTTTTTGTCGGTGGCCATGTGTGTGGGTTCTGGGTTCTTTGGGAAACATATGTTGCTATTAGCGCGTGAGGCATTCCACAAGGCGGCACGCATGCCTCCATCAATTATCCTCTCCAGGGACGAACTGCCTAACAATCGGCCATTGTTGCAGATGCCTAGTTACGGCATCTTCTACACTTCCACATCCACCGCCTCTCGGAATCGACCACAATTACACCAGAACCAAAGACCCTGGCGCTATTGTTGTCCTCAATCTGTTCCTCTCAGAGGTTCGGGGTCATGTGCTCGTTCGCTTGTTCGGCAAACAAATGGCCTGAAGTGCCCAGAAGACCCACACATTCGCTCGGGGACAATCTCCAAGGGTTACGAAGAACATATAGCCGAACATAAACATGCGCATATTGTATTTCTATTCATCTTTGTTGATCGCCTTTGTTCGCTGGGTTTATCGGTTCAATTGGTTTACCAATTGTGGCACAAATATAGGAGTGTAATTTGTTTCAAAATGTATGTTATTATTAATTTTAATGAGCCCCAGGGGGCTTACAATAACTTATTGAATCTTTATTAGGTAAGCTATGTAAATATGTGAAATGTAACAAAATCAACTTTTCACAAATAAACTAAACTAAATAAAATAAAATAAAATTAACAACTTCAACAGCAATTTAAATAAATTTTCTGAAATTTCTATTAGATGCTAATTAAATATTTTGACTATTTTCCTTTTCTTTAGAAGAAAATAAATTTATATTTATATTTATATATGTGCAATTTATTCATGAAAGCACTTATTTTGATGAACTCTTGACCCCATGACAGCTATTGAAAAAGTGTAAACACACATCGCTCGTAAACTCCGTCGGTTTTCCCCAACTAACCCAGAGTTCACGATGCCATAACCAGAGATCTATCATCTCACAGTTGGTTGGACCGGACGAGGCGATTCATATGCCTAATAGGCAAAGTTCACATAACAAAAACCAAAGTTTTTTCCACCAGCCAACGACAACAAAGGCAACACAAGGCCAGGGCAACTGTGTATGTGCCAACAACCGCTGCAACATTGCCGGACCATAACTGGACCTCTCACGTAATAACGTATAGAATTTCAGAAAAAAAAAAACAACAAGAAAAAAAAGTAAAGAGCATCTAAGGAAAATTAAAGAATCTCTTCCTCCTGTCACAACTTTCACATGAAAGTTCTTTCAACTTGAGCGGCCAAATATGGCAGAAACACGACCAGCGACCAGGAAACCGAAGGCGAGCAATGCGATCGACTTCTGGTGCTGCACAATCGATCAGAGAACCATATTTAGAAGACCCCGCCATAGTTATAGACATTTACCTCCACCTCCTCCGGATTTCTGCAATTTTCCGTTGCGACGACGCTGCGGCGATTTTTTCTTGGTGACGGATTCCGAGGAGGCATTAGCCAACATCGATTCCGAGTCGGCGGCAATGTTACTTTCAATGATCAGGCCACTTTTGGTTTTGTGTCGCCTCGAGGATTGCGATGACTTCTTTTTCTTCTCAGGACTAGGAGCAATCCGTACTCCTGTCCAGGATACAACATTCTGCTGTTCGAAGGAACTATCGTTGAGCGAAAGACTAAAGTCCTGCAGATCCTTGGCACTCGAGAAGCCCTGATGCAATCGTTTTCGATGTCGTTTCGCCTGGCAGTGGATGGCCAACATGATGAGTAGCAGGCCAAGAGGCCATTTGATAAAATTTCCGATTTGCATACTGAACAACGAACTAAACGCACAATGATCACTAAACACACATTTTATTCCGTTCGACTTTGAACTTGGATATAATTAATCTGCTCTTTTAATAAAACCTCTTGGGAAGCAGCCACTTATTTCTTTGTATTTTCATTCATAATCTATATATTTGCACTGCACTGATTGTTCTTTTTTTTGCTATTTCTTCTTCAAATCATTTACGATTTCCGCTCGATTTTTTTCTTACACACTTTTTATGCATTTGCTCTTGCGAATCTTTCACTTTATTTTGCTTTATTTTGTAACTTTGCTACTTCAGCATTTTTGCGCTATTTAATTTTATTTTTGTTTCAGACACATTTCCCATTTTCCTGCTCAGCGACAAGCAAACATTTTTCTCGGTAGCTATTTTCGTATCCTCGACGTGAAGTGTAACATAAAAAAAGAAGACAGAAACGTTCGATCTTGCAGGCGAACTCGGAAATGGCGTACAGAAATTTCGCATTCACTTATTTATTAGCAGTGGCTTATCGCGTAATTGCCGTTTAATTTTATGACACATAAATAAATCGCCCAGAGCAGCCGCACTATTTGAAGGCACTATCATCTAGAACTCATCCATTTCGCAGCACGCGCTTCCCACTTCCTACGCAAACGACCGTCAAACACAAACTGATCGCAGTTGCACTTCGAGCCGAAACAAGAGAGACGGTTGTGGATCTTGTGTGGATCGTATTCGCTTGCAGAGTTCGGACTCCGGAGGAAGTTGAACCGGCCTTCAGGGAAACTTAACACCTCGGAAGGGGTTATACGACCGGGCGGCATATTTCTAATTAGGGACTTTATTGATCTTGACCGATCTTAAGGTGTGAAGGTGACCTTCAGGCGAGTGAAGTTTCTATAAGGAACTTTTGATAGTTAATATTCTTTTAAAACAATCATCTTTAAAATCTGAGAAGCACTTGCAGTGAACATGTCCTTGGTCAGGATCATCAGACGAGTCGGTCTATGTCTGAATGTCCGTCTGTCCGTCTACCCAACTGTCCGACTGTCCGTCCGTATGAACGTTGAGTAATGCGGGGAGTCCACAGTTTTCTTGTTAGAAAAGTTTTGATAACAATTTTGTATTATATTTATGAATAAAACTGTTTTATGATTCATACAAATCATTCATACATTCATACATGCATACAAAGCCTTATTACAACTTTTTGTAAATATTCGACAAAAAATTATATTGAACATATAACGCTTAGCCCTTTTGCACCTCCTATTTGCATTTTCAAAGTTCCCTACCGTCTTATCATCTGGTTCGTTAACATCTCCATCAGAGCAAATTACGATCCACAATCGTGATATTCTCTTTTCTTAAGTTCACTCTCTGTGGCCCTTTTCACAGATTTCTCTTAAGATGTGGTAAACATTCAATGATTTACCTGTTGCACGAATAAGTTGCAAGCCAATTCGTTTGACTTTAACAGGTAGAAATGGTCCGCTTAGACGGGGAAATTCCCGGCGTGCCAAAGAAAATATTTGTAGTCCTGCGAGCACCTTGCACTTGAAACTTCTTTGTTGTCTGCTCCTTGTTTTCCCTTCCAGCCTTCGCCACATGTTTTTTCCACTATATAACATTTTGACAGTTTCGCGTTGTGTCGAGAGTCCTGACCTTTTTCAACGCTACTTTGTCCGGACCCTCAATGTCCTACGGTCATTACTGAGTATCCTTGCGGTGCTTTTGTTGCGTCGACACGGCATTTTAGCAGGTGATGGGCCCCCGGAGAAGTGGAGCGAAATGCGGCACTTAACGCCAGTTCGGATGCATCCCGAATGCATCCCGAAGATACCCTGAAAAGATATTTCCTGCTAATACGACGATACTCATTGGACGATTTACGGTGGCGCACGTTTCATGTTGCCCGCGGCTATTTGCAGCCCAATCGTGTGGCACTTACATAAATACCTCGTTCTCCCTAATAAGTTTGCGTTCCATACGCCAGTTTAAGGCGCACTAAAAGCTGGGAAAAGAACGGGTTAAAGGGTGTTCTGATTTCTATTTTCTCCATTTTAAAAGGTTTTTATCTATGGAAAGAAAAACTTGAACACTTTTAATTTTAGATGGGGTTTACATAGTATAGAACTCTCTTGTGTGTGGGTAACGTGTTTCATTAATCAAAGTTATACATACATCAAAGTTTCCATGTTGGTTTGTATACAAACAAGTATCAACTGCCTTAATTTAATTTAAATTTCGTACCCATAAATAAGTGTGGAATCCAGAACAGGCCTGCTGGCATCTCTCCTTTGTATCTGCTGCAATTTGTTGATGGCTCTGTCGCTGCTGCTGCTGCTTTGGCTCAAAGAGCGTTTGTTGAAGCGTGAAACAGCAGTTTCACGAGCCGGCTAAAAGAGCTGCAATTGTCGATCCCTTGGCCTCTGGCGAGGATTGAGCTAAGCCCTCGGCCCTCGGAATCGAGAGTCCCCCAACCCTTTTGGCTCACCCGCACACTTCTGGTGTACTCACATCCATTGTGGATGCGCCGTTTAAATTGGTTCGTTTAACAGAATCGAAAACCGAACCCAAGGCGGCATCGAATGAAACGAACTCGAGCCAGAGAGATTGGAAGGAAATAAAAGGGTTTCCTTTGGGTTGTGCGCATGCCTGGTTTTAAGTGCCCGACGTACTTGAGGATAACGATGTGTACGCGGAGGATAATCGTGGCGGCGGCGATGATGCTGTTGGCCTGCCCTGATGAGGCTGCTGATTTCGGCGTGATTTATGCATCTTAATTGAAATGATGGCTTACAAATTGTTTGGCACAAGTGCACCAAAAAAGGGGATAGGGAATTCGAAGGAAAGGGGCAGACTTTGAATGATGAAAAAGGACTTCCTGGAATGAAAGGTTTGTTTTGGGTTAGGAATGTTTTCAGTAAAGGGTAGAACTTCCTGTTAGCAATCACTTTGGAATTTAATCACTCTATAGGTTGTGAACATTATAATACAATTTAGAATTATGGATTCTGATCAGGCTTAAATAATTTATTAAATTATTTAAACTTTCATTCGAGATCTTTAGACTTCAAAATCCAAAAATAAAATAATTTCCTTAACAGATAATAAGAAACTATTTTCCACTCACTTAGCCATCCATTCACCGCATTACGACCTACTAAAACTGCACGATCTCCGCAAGGTTCTGGCAATTGGCAAGCCATTTACTGGATAAACATCGTATAGAGCAACCTTTTGTTAACGACTTTCACACACACACACACCCAATACCAACTACCAATCCCACACACATATACGTATACTCAATTTTCCAATAGCCGCCTCCTAATCAAAACTGAGGCATCGAACTTTTATCAATAGCTTTTTTCGCCCCCAAAAATCTTTGAGTGGGCCTTGGAGGAGCTCTAGGCGCAAAACCAATTAAGCGGCGAATCGAAAACAAACACACTCACGGACATAAAGGTGGAAACAAATAAGGAAGTATTCGGTAGGATCGTCGTCTGCGATCTGGGCTCCTTTAGGCCTAGCGCCTTGCACCGGTAGCCCAGCTGAGAGAAGCCAAATAAAATCAAATGAAATTTACCGCCAATGCCAGCGGGCCGAAGAGAGTCCAAGTCCCCAGTTGGGGAAGCGCCAAAACGTTAAATACAATTCATGGCGCTCACGAGCGGAATTTAAATTATGCCCAATTAGAGTTAGGTGGCTGCTCCGACTCGGACTAAGTCGGAATACCCTATACTAGCAGATCTAATGGGTATATTGTATCAATTATTAAGAAAAAAAAAAGAAAAAGTCTAATTAGATATTTAAAATTTAAAGGGTGCAAAACTGTCTATAATAATATAAAATTTTAAGCTACCCCAAAAAAATATATTGTACATAATTATGAAATTGGTTTGATAAATTCCAAGTAAAGAACACCTTAAGTTCTTTTATGTTTATTAATATTGTGCAAATATTGAAAAATGGTCTGCTGTATGATAATAATGAATTAGTTCTGACCTTTTGCTTTTAAGTTTTCAGACTTAATAATTTAAATATATTTTGATACATTTAAATAGTTATCTTACAAAACTTCAAAAACATAGTAAAAAATTGCAGGATCGGGTATCCTATAATTGCAATAAATGACAACACTGTTCTTACTTGTTTTTTGCCCAGTTTTTAGCCAGGCCCGTTTCGAGCAATTCCTGTGGGGCATTTGTGCGACTCCGAATGGAGATAGACAGTGAGACAGACGGACGGGTGGGCGTGTCGTGTGGGGCATGTTCGTGTGGTAAAGCGCCAAATTGATTTCGATCGCCCAGAGGGGGTCTCCATACACTTACGAGTATATGCACCACATATATCCCATTCCCATCGCCACTGCCAGCCAACCCCCTAATGTTTGTTTCTAGTAGTTGCCACCGCAATTCCCGCTTGTTAACTATCTCACATGTCCCTCCGTTTTGTTTTTGATGGATTATGCGTTGACAGGCTTTCGGGAGTTTTCTAGAGCGCCACTGATTGTCTTTTCCAGTTTTTTATTTTTATTTTTTTGTTTTGTTTCTTGCCGACTTGGTCTGCCTTGGGAACTGGTCTTGTTATGTAAATTGCCGACGATTTTTCGTATTTTCGTATTGCGGGTGAAGTGCTGTTCCAGTGCTAACAAGGCATTTCAAGTGGGATCGCGACCATAAGGTAGCTATTTGGTTCGGTTTCATAAAAAAGGAATGCCTTGCAGGATATTCGGGTTTCCTGGAAATTAATGATGATTTACTGCATAGTTTACTCAATCGAGGCGTGGGAATATAACCTTCCGGGGATTTCTAGGTTGTGATGAACAGAGCATAAATATAAACTGAATGTAAATCAACATAAAAAAATATCAGATAGTTTATGATCAATATTCTTAGGACAAAGATGCGGCTAAAAAAAACTTCAATGAAAACCATATTCAAAATGTTTTTACCTAAAACTTAATTTGTAAAATTATTAGTTTACTTAAAATAAAAATAAACTAATACATTCGTAAGAGAATTTTTTTTAATTTCCGACACGAATTGTATCATAAAAATGAAAAAAAACGGCTCTTCCACTTCAAAATCTGATAAAAATTAGAAATGTTATAGAATTTGAAGTTCAGAGTTTTGGTCCCTATGTTTTACCCCCAAAAACTAGATTCCCTAATCGAATTACCAAAACGTACGCCTCTTACACCAATTTCAAACATTAAAACTGTCGGCATTTTTGATTCGCTTTCCACCCCGAGCATTTCCAGAAAAAAAGAAAACCTGACCAACAATTATAACTTCATTTTACAACATTGTTCGGGAGGCGTGGACAAATTAATTTCCCATAAAGTTCTCTAATTAGTAGCTCCATTCAAAGCGCCGCTTACGGCACAGCCAGGGGCTATAAAACCCAAAGTACAATATATCCCTAACCCAACCGAGTGTCAATATCAAGAAACGCTGCATGACACTTAAAATATCGTAAATTTGGGAAGATCCCTTTTTTTCTTGGCGGTAAGGCGTTAACTTTATCCTATTGTAGAGTCAGTGAAAAATTAGTGAACACATTTTCAACTCGCGGGGTGGTCGATGTTTTTTTTTGTGAAGTACTTTAAGATTCAAGTGCCTACTTAAGAAGTTTATTTTCCCCTTTTTTTT